AGGGTTAACAGAGGTTGGCATCACGGAGGCATCTGTCAGGTTTTCTAAAGAATGAATTGTGGTAACAAGATTGATACATTGTCAAGTATAGTCAGATGGCTCTTGGGTGAAATGATCTAAAATATCTATAATTGGCACTATTAGTAATACATTGCATTTTGTGTTGCAGATAATATTCTGAATAGGGGAAAACTGATTGCTGTAGATGTATGTTGGAAGTGTATAAAGTTACTAACTTTTCTCGTATGCATATTACCACTCTTTTTCTAGGAACACGGTTTATTATCTAGAATTTTACTGTACATTATTCAATCATTGCCTTAAAAAATGTGTAAGACCTTCCATTGCTTCTTAGTGAGCACAAGTTATTGAACTTTAAAGTGGGAAAAAACCTAGTTCATGGGATTAAGTTGACAGACTGTCAAGTGTTGCAGTTTATTGTGGTGTATAATTCTGGGATTTGCTTTCCCAGTAGATCTATTGATGATCAGATCAATTTGATGTTACTTAATTTCTTCTTAAAGTATTTATGGCATGAAAAAAATATTTACAGCATAAACTATTATACTCCCTCTGTAAAATGAGTTTCCTTGAGACTTAATCATACTGTCCCTTAAATTCATACTCTGATTGTATGTACTTTTCTATTTTTTAGTAACTAATTCTCTAAATAGTCTAAGGTACTTTTTGTTCTGTATGACCTAAACTCAGTTGCTACCTGGGATTGGGTCCTAGGAGTGCTTTTAAACAAGTAGGTCACAGTGCAACTAATGGTTATTCTGTTTCTTTAGAAACAAACCTATTTAATAAATCTTAAGATATGTTATTGTGCCTTGCTCTTAGATTCTTTTTGAGTTGGTTGTATATGGCTATGGCCTTCTTATGGGATCTCATTTGTTAAGCCTTTCTGCAGTATTAGCTCTTTTGATGGACATAGCAACTCTGCATGAGAGGTAATCTTATTATGATATAGATAAGGCAGCTGAGGCTTAGAGCAGTGTAAATTATTTGGTCAGAAATAATAGTTAAGTAAGCAGTATGGTAGGAATTTGAACCCATTACTTACAGACATGAAGAAACCATAGTGTACTTAACCGATTGAAGCACCAGGCACCCCTCTTTCTACCAAAAAGTAATATAAAACTAGGAGGTGTTTCATAGTTTGTGTGAATAGAAAGCAATAGGAAGGATTTCATTTCCTACCCAGTTTTGCCTTTTTTGGGGAAAAAAATTGACTCCAACTTCTTTGGGTGAGACTTCTTCGTTTGGTTTGGATTTTATTCTTTTTTCATCCTGTAATTTGTGGTGTGGGTTTGTTTCGGAAATCAGTGCCGTATAGTCAAAGAATTATGCATCTGTTCATTATATCAAAATGTATGAGAACTTGAGAGCATATAAAAACTGTTTGAAAAAGTCTTCTACACCTTAAAGCTTATTCTAGATTGTGCCCTGTTGAAATCTTATAATTGACCAGGTCGTGTATTATGTTTACTGTGTACATTTTTTAGAAAGCCTCTGATTTTGAAGAGGAACTGAAGATGAGGAAGGAATGTGGAGTCTCTGACAGTGTGTTCTGAGAGTGATTTTGAGGCTATTTTGGGATATGATCTTGGAGGCCCTTTGGCAGCTTTTTATAGCCCTAAATAGAGCTGCTACTACTTTGTGTAACCAGGGAGTGGGGTTTTGGGGCTCTTGGACCCCAGCCTTTTCTTTTTTTACCAACTCCCTCTTAATGGGTTTCTAAAAATATGAAGACCTGGGACAAAATGAAAGGAGGATGGAGGTGAGGAGAGGCCGGAATTCAAGGAATTTTACCATCCAGTTTTTTTCTCATTCCTTTATTTACTCTTACCCTTCATCCTTAATATCTTTACTTTTTTGCTAAAAATGAAGACCGGCCTCTCTTGTTCTAATTCCATGTTGGAGGACTTCCCACAGTGGGAGGGTTCATTATTGCATCTTGAGATGTTTTTAATGCTCTAAACATGTTTTACTTTGAACCTTAAAGTAGTTGACAGCATTTTAGCTTCTCATTTGTCCTTGCATTGCCATGATTAAAACAAAGCAAAAAGCAAAAACCCCAAAACCCCCTAGTCTCTAATTAAAATACTAACGGCATTACTTTAAATGGCTATGAGTTTAATACAATTTGGGAAAGGATTTAATTTTTATCTGCATCTTACAATTATTTTAGTATATGATAGGTAAATCTTTTTTAGTATGTGCACTGTAGGCTTAGAATGAAATGGTATAACGTGTGTGATTTTTTTTTTTTTTGCAAGTGAAGACAGCATAAATACAGTATTCTCATTGATTATTTTTTATACTAATGCTGTCGATATAGCAGTGTTCTGAAACTTCTGATTGCACATGCTTATTCAAAATGTTGAAAATATATTATTACATGAAATTACACATAGTATTGTTAGTTTCCTTTATTGCATATTAACATTTTTTTGGCTATTTGTAAGTTGTTTATAAATAGCAGTTAGATTATTTCTTTCCATGCCTGAATGGATCCTTTTGTTTTCCTCCTCTGATGTGCACATCCTGCTTTGAATAACCCTGCTTTAATGTTAAAGATGAAATTCTGATAGTTGATGTGCACATCCTGCTTTGAATAACCCTGCTTTAATGTTAAAGATGAAATTCTGGTAGTTTATTCCTTGTTCTTTGTAACATCAAATAGATTCATAATTCAGAAAGTATTTATGGAACATCTGTGGTGCCAGGCACTGTTCCAGATGCTGAGGATATAGCAGTAAATAAAACACGCACAAAACTCCTTTTATGGCACTTCGAGTCTGAACAAAATAAGTTAGATATGTAATATGTTATTAGTGCTTGTGGAGATAAAGTAGGGGAACAGGGATAGGGAGGGAGGGTGGGGGTTAGGGTGGAATGGGGTTTTGCAGTTTCAATTATGGAGGCTTCACTGAGAAGACACATTTGCATGAAGATCTTAGGAGCTGAGAGAGCAAACCAGATAGAAATTTGGGAGGAAAAGAGCAAGTGCAGAGCTTTTGAGGGAGCAGTATGGCATGTTGGAGAACTACAAAGAAGCTAATCTGGGTGAAACAAAGTGCCAGGGTGGAAGTAGGTTGGGGGAAACATAGCTGAAGATGAGTTAAAAGTAGGTTGAGTGAAGGGACCATATAAAACCTCTTCTTGGGGAGCTGTTATAAGGACTTTGAAAGGTTTATGAAATAACAGACCCAGGAGGGAGTGGGGAACAAGGTCAGAAGCAGGAAGTACAAAGTTGGGCTATTGCAGTATGCCAGGTGAGAACTTGATGGTGGCTTGGATTGGAAGTGTAGCCATGGGGTGGTAAAAAGTAGTCCAATCGTGGATATATTTTGAAGTTTAAGCTGACAAAATCTGCCTGTCAGATTAGATGTGGTGGGTTATGAAGGAATAGGTTTGATCCCGTTGGAAGGGTGTATTTATGGTTAACTGATATAAAGAAGGCTTTGAGGGAGGAGCAGGTTGAGGGTGGGGCATGCTAAGTTTGGTGCTTATTAGACACTCGAGGAGCTCTTGAACAGGTCATTATGGATGGAGAAAGTGTGATCCAGGGGAGAGATCTTTGCCGGATATGAGTTTGGGAAAGCATCATATACAGAGTGTATTTAGTATTTAGATTCATTGGACTATATGGGATCACTGTGGAGGTGTGTAGTAGAGAAGGTCTAGGACAGGGCCCTGGGGCACTTCAGTGTTGGGGAGATAGGAACCAACACAGAGGTTGCTGCCAGACTAATAGGAAGACAGGAGAGCATGGCTAATGGAAGTTGGGTGAGGAGCGAGGAACAAGGAGGAGGGCAGGCCAGCTGGATAAGATGTTCCCTTTAGGTCAAATAAGATGAAGATTAAGCATTGGGCATTTGATTTAACTGTGCAGGACCTCAGTTAACCTCAACAAGCAGGTGAGTGGCTAGACTCTGGAGAGTTGTGTTCAAGATAGGAGGAGAGGAGAGAAATTGGAGACAAGCAAGCATAAATAACTTTCAATAAACAGTTGAGCAGTGGGGTGTTAGCTGGTCTGGGGAGAGTAAGGTCAAGGTTATTTGCTCCTCTTACTGGGCAAAATTACAGCAGGTTTGTAGTTTGGGATAAATCCAATAAAGAAGGGAAAGTGATGATTCAGGAGAGGAAGGAGATGCTAGAGCAATGTCCTTGAATAGGTGAGAAGGAGATAAGGTCTAGTGCTTTCTTTAGAGGAGAGGTCAGTCTTAGCTAAGATTGATGGCCATTTTATCCATAGTGACAAGAGGAACCTTCGAGTTCTTTAGGAGAGAGAAAGATGGAAAAGAGAATTAAGAACTGATTGTTGTGGAGCAGCAGAGTTTGTCGTCAGGGGTGTACATATTTCTCTAGCCCTGTTGAGGTGCTTAGGCACTTGGCCCTCCTACATTCCCTTCTGTTTTTCAGAGGAAAGATTTTTAGTGACTTTTAGCACTGATTTTACTTTTTATTTATTAAAACGATTTTATTTTTAATTTCCACACCCAGTATGGGGCTTGAACTCACAACCCTGAGATCAAGAGTCACATGCTCCATTGACGGAGCCAGCCAGGTGCCCTGAATTTTACTTTATAAACAGCTTGGTTTGAGTGGAGTTTAAAGAGAGCAAGTTGCCTTTACTAATGTGATAATGCCAGTGTTACTTTCCTTTTTCTCTTCCCTCTCCCCTTTCCTCACTTCTCAACTAAATATAAAATCGGTTTCATTAGCTTAATTTTTATTATCAACATTTTTGGACATTTGTGGCTACAGTATATATGTGTCATCAGTATTCATTTGCTCTTGCATTCGGCTGATTGGGATGATTTAAATAGTTTTTTCTTTGAACTTTTGAGTTTTATAAAATGAATAAAAACCCATCAGGAGATTGGAGAGGTTCTGTTATGCCCAATTCCAAGAGGTGAACTGCATAATTTTTATTATGGTGTTCAGCAAAGTTACATTTGTGTGACAAATGCATTGTTTTTCTGTTGTAGGAAACCCAGCGTTTGCTGGCGGAACCAGTTCCTGGCATTAAAGCAGAACCAGATGAGAGCAACGCCCGTTATTTTCATGTGGTCATTGCTGGCCCCCAGGATTCCCCCTTTGAGGGAGGGACTTTTAAGCTTGAACTATTCCTTCCAGAAGAATACCCGATGGCAGCCCCTAAAGTACGTTTCATGACCAAAATTTATCATCCTAATGTAGACAAGTTGGGAAGAATATGTTTAGATATTTTGAAAGGTAAGTGTTAACTTTTATCAATATATGCTATTAAGATTACTCCTTTTTCTCTTAAGCATTCCATATTGAGAATCTGAACGTTGTAATCTTGCCTATTATATATAAAGACCAGGAAGGTCTGTGGGAATGAAATGCAGTAGTTCTGGGGCTGTTGTTTCATGCCTGATCATTCTGGGCCTGTTCTCTTCCTAGATAAGTGGTCCCCAGCGCTGCAGATCCGCACAGTTCTGCTATCGATCCAGGCATTGTTAAGTGCTCCCAATCCAGACGATCCATTAGCAAACGATGTAGCGGAGCAGTGGAAGACCAACGAAGCCCAAGCCATAGAAACAGGTATTTAATATCCATTCTCCTTCACACTACCTCCACTTTTTAAAACAAATAAACTACGTTTTAAAAAACCTCTTTTAGAGTCTTAACAAAAATAAAAAATAATATAAAGAGGAGTAAGTCAGATCCTGCTTCTAAGTATATGAGCACCTTTTAATGGATGTTTAAGCTCCACCTGATGGTCTGCTTCTTGACCCCCAAATTAAAGACTGCCTGTAATAGGGAGCTCTTCAACTCTTGTATAACCTATACCTGGTGCCTCAGATACTGAGTGTGTACTATTTATCTAGCAGGACATAGAGATAATGGAAAACTTTTTAACGCCTTGAGCTGCTTTGTATTTCATCTGATTAATAAGACTGTATCACTTCAGAGCTAGGGAGTTTGATATCATTGAGCTTCCTGCTACAGATTTTAACAAAATTAGTGGAGAGCATTATATATCTAGAAATGAAGGAGACAAGTCTTCTCATGATGTTGAATTTTGTAGAACTTCTGGATTCCACTCTATTGTTTTGGTAATTAGACATACATAGGCTTTCTGTCTGACCCAGATGACAGAAAAATGGCGTGAATTAACTTAATACTACTTAATTTTTATAGAGTTTGGAAAGTAACATTAAGCTAAGTCAAATAATAATTGAATGTTTGTTTTTGTCTGCAGCTAGAGCATGGACTAGGCTATATGCCATGAATAATATTTAAAATCGATCTGATCATCCAGTGTGCATCATTTCTCCTGTTCTGCCAAGACTTCTTCCTTTTTTGTTTGCATTTAATGGACACAGTCTTAGAAACATTACAGAATAAAAGCCCAGACATCTACAGTCCTTTGGTGATTAAATGCACATTAGCAAATCTTTGTCTTGTCCTGATTCACTGTTGTAAAGCATGAGCAGAGGCTAGAAGTACCATCTGGATTGTTGTGAAATGTTTAAAAGCAGTGGCACCTCTCTGCTTTTATCCATTTCCCCCATGATGGTTAAGGTATAAAGCACTGTGAATGAAGGTAGTTGTCAGGGTTAGCTGCAGGGGTGTGGGTGTTTTCTCTCTATTATTTTTTTTTTTGAGGGGGGGAGAGGTAGTTTTATTTTAATTTTGTGGGCTCCTTCCCCCCCTTTTTATGGTGATCTAATTGCATTGGGTAAAAGCAGCTAACCAGTTCTTTAGAATATGCTCTCTAGCCAAGTCTAACTTTATTTAGACGCTGTAGATGGACAAGCTTGATTGTTTGAACCAAAATGGGAACATTAAACAAACATCACAGCCCTCACTAATAACATTGTGACTTTGCTGTCAAGTGTAGAATCCTTCCTTCAAAAAAAGCTTGTGACCATTTTGTATGGCTTGTCTGGAACTTCTGTAAATCTTATGTTTTAGTAAAATATTTTTTGTTATTCTACTTTGCCTTTGTACAGTTTATTTTACTGTGTTTATTTCATTTTCCCATTGTGACAATCGTATTTAAAAATTAAAACTGATGGAACTTTCTGTTTTGGTCTTCACCATCTGACAAGTTGAATGACAAGAGGTTGGATTTTGCCAGTTTCTTTTCACTGATGCAAACTTGTGTTAAAATATCACTAAATGGAGTATTTATAAGCTGGCCCTGAGCATGCATGAAGCATTGGTATCTGATATTTTTTTTTTTACCTCCTGGAAATTTGAAATAAATGTGTTTGTGTTGTCTGATTAGGTAGATGATCATTGGTGTCTTGCCATGATGTTTGAAAATTACTGTACAGGAGAGTCACAGCAAAGCAGCCGTGTGACTGGCTCTGTGTAGGACTCACATGTTGTGCCGCATTTGTCTGGCATTTGGGATATGACCTTTTTCTCAGTTTTTGTCTGAAAACTTCACGTGTAACCACTGGTATGTGCTGTTAGGAAACACCAGTCTGAGAATCATTTGGGGTTTGCTGAGGCATTTATGAGTCTTCCTTGTAGACCTGACGAGCAGATCTCAAGCAACCAGCTTGCATAAGGGTCATCCGAAAGGTTTCTTCCTTTGTGAGCCTCACGTCCTCAGTTCGTAATTCTTACTTTCATCCTTCAGTATTTGCTCTGGGAGCTATTGTTTGATATTCAGTAATTTTTTCTGCATTGACAGAGTTCCTCCCTTTAAAAAAACCTGTTCTTTCCCACCATTTCCATATCTGATTACTGATCCTTGTTATTTTTAAGTGAAGCCAGTCCCAAGTATGTAAATGTTAACCTGCGGGTTGGAACCTTTGTCTCCTGCAATTTAAGGTAATGGATATTGTAGCCCATCTGAATTCCCCTACTCTTTATTCTTATAACTTCTGGAGTTTCTTCAGAATGTGGTGTATTTTATTGTGCTCCTATGTAAGATGAATTATCTATTAAAATTACATTTTCAACATAACAGAAGTTTTTGATGACTGGTAACTGTATCCTTCCAAATAAAATGTATTGCTTGGAAACAAATGTTAGTTTAATTCAGAATAAAATTGTTCGTAACCTTAATGTTGCAAATTTAAAGCTCTTAGGAGCAGTTATCATTTATAACAGTTCTTGTGCTTGTGCAGAGCGTGTCTTGCAACTAAGGAAGCTGAATCTCATTCTGGGGCCAAAACGAACACTCGGGCAGTTCAGTGGAGAGCAGCTTTATGTAATGCAGGTGGCCCTGCTCGTGATGATAGCTGGTATCACATAGCAATTTGTTAAGTCCTAAAATTCCAGATTTAAATCCATTGTACTGTAAAAATATGTCTAGAATAGGACTCTCATGTCTGCTGAATTGGAGTTATATAAGTACTGAAATGGAATAATTCCCTGTTTTTGTTGCAGATAGGAACTCCTGATTTCATGGCATCATATTTTTTCCCTTTGTAATCTTGCTAAGAGTCCCCATTGTATTGATAAGACTCTTTCTTAAGCAGCGAGATGAAAGGAGGCAGGCAGTTTGTTGATTGAACTTGCTTAGGATTGAAAAGGCTCTGGGAGAGGCCAGGGTAGATTTCAGAAACTGGCAGCTACATCTGGGTTTGGGGCCTGTTTTCCTTGGCGCACACAGTGTGTTTGGTTAAAATATTTTGAATCCAGTGCCAGCATTTTTAAAAATCAGGAGATTCATGTGAAAATCCAGAATTTTGGTAACTTGAATGATCTGAAGATCTGGCCACTGCAGACATGACCAGCCTTTGTGCGCAGCACCGTCTGGGAGGAGCTGAGCAGCAGCTGCCCTAACAAAGAGGTTGTCACTCTTTTCTCTTCCAATGACTCTCCAGTTGGTTAGAGTCCCCTGCCAGCCCACTTGCTCCTTTATGTAGTTCCCTTCCTCTTCCCTTGTAAGCCTTTGATTTTATAACTCCTAAGCTTAAGGAGTTTTTTTGTTAATTTGACAGAAGTTTAATATGCACCCAACACTGTACTCCTTGGGGAGGATTAGGTGAATGAGACTGGCATGGGGCTTTCCCTTTTGGACCTTCTGATGGGGTAGGGGCATGGACAAACAGCAGTCCCAGCTCTGTCCTGGAGAAGGGAAGAAGTACTGGTCAAGGTCTGCTCATCTGGACTCGAGCCAGATGAACACCTTTAGGCAGGAGGAACAGCATGTGCAAAAAGCCCTGGGGGAGAAGAAAAGAGTCTAAATATGTAAGCGGCTTCTTAAAAATCGACTCGGCCCATTAGGAGGAGCTTTTCTGAAATCCTGAGACATTGATAGGAGCTTTTATGGTTTTTTGATTTTTTTGTTTTGTTACACTGCTTTGCTAATTGTTTCCACACTAGTTATTCTTGGTCCTGCCTAATAAGATCTTAGATCTGACATGTATTGAACTTAAACTCTACTCTAGACCAAGAACATACTTCAATACAAAATTTCAGAAGCATTTTATTTTATTCCCTGCCCCACCCCCTACAGAAACATCTTAAAATAAGCTTAAATACAAGCTAATATAGCTACAGGTGCTGCATAGTTTAGCACTGTTCAAGGAGAATAGGGCAGGAAATCTGGTATCCTGCAAGACATCATAAACAATTTCAGCGAAGTGGAACTATTGGCGTCTTAGGAATTGGCTTTATTTTTCTATTTGACGATTCAGGAATCTCTTTTGGCTATTCTAGCCATATCAATTTTTGTCAGTTGCAGCAGCAAAGGTTTAAAAAAGTAGCCTTATCTAGCAAAGCTGGCCCAAAAACAGATAGTTAAAATGCCATGATTATAGGGCAGCTAATTCATCAGCCTATTTAAGAAAAATGTAATATTTCATTGGAATAATGTATTTTTGGGCTGGGGGTAATAACATTTAGCTATTTAGCATGCTGCTTAATTTAAGGAATTATATCAGGGTTTATTTTTTAAATGATTTGATCACAAAAGCAAAACATGTTGAATGTAATAACTTGAAAAAATATGAAGAATAAAAATCTGTAATCTTCCACCCAGACTGGTGATACTTTGTTTGATACTTTGACCATATCCCCATGTGTTAATTCCATTTCTCACTGATGTTGGAAATTGGGCGGATTTGTTCCAGGAGTTAGCTTTGCTACAGCTTATTACAAATTGGGTAAATTTCCCCTGGCTGCACAACTAGGAGTTGGGTTACAGTTTTTCCTGGTTAAGTGTAGAGCTCAACGGGAAGAGTTCAGGTCTTTCTTCCCAGTTACAACTTTGGCAACCTTCAGCTGGTCTCATTTCATCTGTGCCTCTTGCTGTGGTGGTTCAGTTGTCCGAATGCAGACTGGCTACACTGCCAGGCCTCTACTGATTCGATGTAATTGATTCAAGTTTCTGATTGGTGTAATAGAATAATTGCTTAAATATTTAGACTTTGCTTATTGTCTCTTGCAGCAGAGTCAACAACTGAAATCTCATTTTTGTTTAAAAGTTCATTTCATGGTGTTCGTTAAGGAGCTTTTACTTTTAACATTTCTCCCTTGCTAATCATTTGTATCATGGGACAAAACAGGTCTTAGAAAAGATTGATAATCTCACCTCATTTTCCTAGAGTAACTAGCAGGTTTCCTTTTTTATACTCTGATCCATTCTCACCCACCATACTCCATGAAATGGTTCCATGATTGGGGCACCGGGGGGCGGTGGGGTTCAGTCGGTTAAGGGCCATACTCTTGATTTTGGTTCAGGTATTATCTCACAGATCCTGAGATTGAGCCCCATGTTGGGCTCTGCACTGACAGCCTGGAGCCTGCTTGGGATTCTCTCTCTCTTCTCCCTTCCCTTTTTATGTGTCCCCCCCCCCCCCAACTCCCAAAGTATTCTGCTTGCATTCAAGAGTAGACCTGTGAAAATTCAAGACCTGTGAAAAGCCGTTTAGACATCATAGATTGGTTGCACTAGATTTTAACTTGGTGCTGTTTTCCTTGTTTTGGCAGGAAGCATTAGGACTGTGAGTAACCAAGGGAATGAGTAAGGGCCAAAGTCTTGTTTTTTCCTTCTACAGCAATAAATATTGGGGGCTTTGTGGGCCAAAGGTCTGTCTAAATTACTCACCTCTGCCATTGTTATGAGAAAGCATCCATAGACCATTTTGGATGATTGGACATGCTATATGCTCTGATAAAACTTTAATTTTCATATGTCACAAAATATTTGCAACCACTGAAATTGTAAAATTACAAAAAAAATTCTAAGTTTGCAAGCTGTACAAAAATGGGGGGGGGGGCTAGGTTTGGCCTATAGGGCTGTTAACCCACGCCACACTTGGCAGTGACTGATTATTCACTGCTTTTGTAGTAGAACCAAATGTGTCTGTCTCTCTAACCCCCTCCTAAAAAGTGATACATTACTGTTGTTCCAGTAACAAAGATGGTGCAGGTTTCTTTACACCCTTTGCTGTTAATATGTACATATTTTGATAGAATTTATGTACAGGTTGAGCATTTATCAACCCTAGTTTTTTCATGCAAGATTATCAAACATTTTCACATTTAAGATTTCTTGGAATGTTAATTTTAAAATTCTGCAGGTCTTTAAATAAATCTGTACAGGTTTTTAAAAAAGTGACCTTTAGTAGGTAATGTTATTGTATAGTTGTGTTTTTTGAAAGGTGTTCTTGAAAGTTTACACTTGGGGCGCCTAGGTGGCTCAGTCGGTTGAGTGTCTGACTTCGACTCCGGTCATGATCTCTCGGTTCATGAGTTCAAGCCCCGCATTGGGCTCTGTGCTGACAGCTCAGAGTCTGCAGCCTGCTTCGGATTCTGTCCTCTCTCTCTGACCCTCCCCCGCTCATGCTCTGTTTCTGTCTCAATAATAAATAAAACACAAGAAAAAAAGTTTACACTTGTGGCATCACATTTCTTTGGTATCCATATAGTATCTGTTAATCATAATTTAATCCCATTTGCACATTTAAATTTCTTTAAATGTTTATTTTTTGAGGGAGAGGGAGCATGAGTGGGGGAGGGACAGAGAGA